GGGTGCCCGCGGGGGCGGCGGGGGCCGGCGCAGGGCTGCTCTTCTTTAAGAGAAAGAAAGACAAGCTGAGCCCGGGGTGTGCGGACCAAGTGCTTCCCAGCCCGCGGGGTGCAGGGAGCGGCGGGTCGCTGTGGGAAGGCGCCGGGCTTCTCTCTTCCTCTGCGCCCCCTCTCCGCCCTTTCCCTGCCGCCTCGTCCCCTTGGGTGGCTCGTCGTGGCTAAGGCAGCCCCGGCAGCCAAGCCCCGTGAGGAGCAGTCCGCTCCCCAGCCCCCGCTGGCAGGGGGCACCTGCGCTCTGGTGAGTGGTGGCAGGCTCCCCTCCCTCCTCCTCCAGCCCTGCATGGCAGGGGAATTGCTGGAGGCTCCCCGTGTGCCCCTTGGCACTTGCTGTGGGCTGCGAGTATTTCAGGACCGTGAGCATCCAGGAAGGGGGGTGTTTAGCTGGAAGCAATGGGACATAAGTGGGTGGGACGGGCATGACTGGCAGAGAGTTAAAGCCGGAGGTGAATGTTGGACAGGTGGGAAGCCCCTGGCATGCATGGGAGGCAGCCAGGGCTCGGCAGGGCAGTGCACCAGACAGTGAGAACCCGGCGCTGCAGGGGCAGAGGAGGTGACGCTCTTGTTCAGGGCTGCATGCTGCCCCTCGCATCTGACTCTGAAGGGGAAGGTCGGACACCTCCATTCTTTCTGAAGCAACTCCTGCTTGCAAGCTGATGCACAAGGCAAAGATCTGAAAGCAGATAAGGATGTCTGGACGCTACTACCCCTTAGAGCTGACACCCCAGGGTGCCAAACACAATGCTGGAGTACCACCTTTACTTTGCAGGGAAGCAGAATTAAGGATGATCACTGCATTCAGGAATGGTGCCACTGTAGAAAGGAGTTTCCTGTCTAGTGCTCAAAGTGATTATCTTGACAGCAGTGATGTCAAAACCGGTGAACAGATGAAACCAAAGCTTTGAAACCATTCTCATCGCCCTCCCCATATATAAACTCTGAGTAAATACTTCGTCCTTAAAACTTTCCATAGAAGGATTTTTAAACACTTCAGACACTTGGGCATTCATATTTTGTTATATAAACTGTTTATGTAATGTTTCCTGGAGCTGTTTTCAGCTGGAAGGCTGACTGTTGTTTGGTTGTTGCTTTTTTTTAAACAGCCTGTTATGGGGAAATAATACAATCAGTTGCAAAGGTAAAATGTCTTGGGGCAATTGGTTCAACAAAAAAAATACTGGAACAGGAACCATATGATTTTTTTCCTGGATATTTTAAAGATGAATCATGGTGCACACTACATGCGCTTGTTCATCATTACTAAAGACAGCAGATCAGTGGCATGTGTACTATATAGGGTTTGAACTAGCATGTACTTAAGTTTGTGTGTGAATGTGGGGAAAGCACCTCTCTTTGGATGTGGAAAAGCTGTCATGAATTTGTGGCTGACAGTGCAGAGATCTTTATGCTTTAATACCAGTATGCTGTCTTGCTTCAGTCTTGTGGTAAACAGCCCTATGCCAGAAAACTGTCACAGCTCATCATCTGCAACACTTTGCATTCATCAGCCTGGGTTTTCTTATTTGGAGAAACATGCCATTTAAAAGGCTTTGCTTTGTCTCCTTGCACCCACTGAACATGAAATGGCTTTGTGTGTGCCCACAACAAAGGCCTGTCCCATTGAAGTCAAGGGCATAACTCCCATTGACCTCAGCAGACACATGATTTGACCCCAAATGAGAAAGGAACTACAGGATGGATACCAAGCCTATTAAAATCAATAGGGCTATATGAGTAAGGGCTTGAAGCTGCTGGGTTGAATGAGTTTGAGAGGTGACAAGTAGTCTCAACTCCTATAGACTTCAATGGGAGTTTAGTATTCAGCATCTCATGACAGAACCCAGCCTGGTCAGAGAGCCCGGAAGGGATAGGTCTCTCAAAAAGCTATAGACAAGTGGTTTATTTACACTGCTCATTTGAGGTAGAATGCATTTTGCATCTGAACTGTTGTTGTAGCTCCTCGCGGCAGGACTGCGGATAATATCCTGTCACCAGTGAAATCATTATTGACTTTTTCCATGGGTCCAGGATTTGGGCCTGTGTCTCTGTGTGCTGTATAATGCTGCACAAAAAAAGATAGTGCTCTGTGTTAACTTTCAAAATCATACTGCAGTTCTGACAAAGCACTCCCATCTCAAGTCTTCCCCAAAGTGCCTTCTTGTAGAGGTAATGAGCTTAAGGTGAAATGGCAGAGGGCACTACAGAAAGCATTCACTTGTTTGCTGGTAATTCCCCCGTGTTGGGTAACTAGCTCAACAACCCAAGAAAGCTATCAACACTTACATTAAGCCAGCCCATGGCAGGCCTCATTGATCATACACATGATAATAGCACGTACTTACCGGCCTCTCAGGTGAGCTGTATAGATTAGTTAATATTTGTATAATACTTTGCAAAGGCCCTCTAGAAGACTGAAGTGTTAACTGAATTTTGCAGTTGTGTTTATTTACTTTTATGGGCATGAGCGTGTTCTGTCTTTGAGTTGGGATTGCTTAATTTTAGTTATAGCGTATTCCTGGAGGTGACTTAGTAACATAAGTTTCTTGCTCAGTAACAACTTTCCAAGAGTGTTTATCCAATGAAATTCACCTGTTTAAGTACTTTTATAATACATATATAGATCCAACGTTCCACACACTTTTCCGTGTAGTCTGTATAACCTGAATGGGTCGTTGTAAGTAGAAAGCTGGAGGAAGATAAATGGCATCATTAAGCCTACCTCTCCAAGTGAAGGGGAGAACCCCAGTGCAATTATTGTCCTGTAGACAGGAGTTGGATAATTCTAATATCCCCCAGGAAGGATGTATTAGACGTTACACTGAAATGACACTCAGAATTAGCAAAATGTTCCAAAAAGGGAGTGGAGGAGCCAGCATCATCTGTGTACAAAGCTGGTTATGATAAAGAACTTATTATGCATCTAAAATATCTTGATATGCCCATCTTGGAGTCCTTAGAGCCCTTTTGTTTTAAAGGTAAATGGTTATGGGTCATGAAATCCAATTTAATTCCTGATAAACTGCCAGTTTCTTTACAAATAGGTGGAAGGTTTATAGTAAAAAAATTACCAAACCATGGCTGTAACTGCAAAAGGCTTCATATTGAACTCCCAGGGTGACTTTTATTTTCTGCTTGGATACTTGAATTGTACAGTCTTAAAAATCAAAAAGACTTCTAGACAAACCTAAGCAAAAACTAAATAGACTAAATTGCAGGGCAACTCACCAGCACCATTTCAACTGAAAGTTTTTCTTTCAGAGTGGAGAGTGGTATGGGGTGCTGGCTGCAGATGGAGAGTTTGGGGAAGGGTGTTGACTATTAGAGGGCATAGGTAGAATGCTGTAAAATATTTTTACCACACTCTTGACTTCACTCAAGCTGAATTAACCTCCAAGTTCAGAGAACTATTATTTGCACAGCAGAAACACTAAAGTACATCAACTGGCTCTCCTGCTACAGCTTACCTCCCTTTCTCCTGCCTCACCTGAACCATGGGCAGAGGTACAAGCAGGGTTTGTGCCCTGGGCAGTCCTGGGGGAGAGGTGCTGCTGAGCTCTGGAGGAGCACTGGTTCCAAGTTGTGGGGGTACCCAGGAATCTCAACTATGATGGAGGCTCAAAAACAGTGCCCAGTGGTGGTGGCAGCAAGTGCTGCCACCACAGCTACTGCAGTATGATCTGCCCATCCCAGCTGTTGCTCTTAAAGCAGTAGTGTGATGTCTGTGCACCTAGCTGCTGCTATAAGAGCAATGTTGTGGAATTGCTTTTGCTACCACAGCATGGACTCTGAGAGGATTTGGGAGGGGGAGGAGGGGAATCCTGGCACTCCTCCAAAGTTGGTGTCCAGGTCTGGTGCCCTGCATGCCCATCCCTAGTTCTGCTGCTGCCCATGTATGCTTGGACCAGCCCATCTCAGTAGTTTTATGACTTTCCTATGACTGCATAGGTCTCCTTTTGGATCTTGGGGTAGGGAGGGCTATTCAACACCTTCCTCAAATACTAAAAATATTTGTGGGATTTTCAGGAAGCTTCACTCCAAACCCACAGGACCTGGGATAGTTCAGAAAGAAGCTTGACTTTCCCTAACACAGAGTCGAAAGAGGAGGCCTTCCATTTCCCACTGCAGTGGTGCCATAGTAAGCCCAGGTGTTACTGGGCTTCATAATGTTTATTACAGTATGTGAGGTTTGCACTGTAGGCTAAGCACAAAGCCACGACAGTTGTGTTGCTCTAGATTGACACTGTGTTTTCCTTCACTTAGGGCTGAGCAATGTTGTTGGAGTTGGGTCCCACTGTGAAAAAGCATGCAACCCTAGGATGGGAAACCTAGCTCACGGGCGGAGATTGTGGACAGATACCACATGTGGACTCAACTCCACAGAGTTTTACTGCTCATACAGTGAGAACGCAGACCTGACCTGTAAGCGGCCCAAGTGCAACAAATGCAATGCTGCGTATTCGCACCTGGCTCACCTGCCCTCTGCCATGGCTGACTCTTCTTTCCGATATCCACGCACCTGGTGGCAGTCAGCTGAGGATGTACACAGGGAGAAAATCCAGCTGGATTTGGAAGCTGAATTTTACTTCACTCACTTAATCATGGTGTTCAAGTCACCGAGGCCAGCAGCAATGGTTCTAGAGCGATCTCAGGATTTTGGGAAAACATGGAAGCCTTACAAATATTTTGCCACTAACTGTTCAGCAACCTTTGGCCTAGAAGATGATGTGACAAAGAAAGGAACAATTTGCACTTCTAGATACTCAAGTCCCTTTCCCTGCACTGGAGGAGAGGTAAGGTCACTCATATTTTTAATCGATGCTGACAAGTTGAACTGGGGCTTACAGTTGCTTCAGAGCATCTATGTCTCTGCTCCATTTTAGAGTAGTTTTACAATTTCATTTTTCTATTATCATACATGTTTCTCTCTTTCTTGGTGCTTTGTGGAAAAACCTACTCAAACTGCAAGGTACCTGAGAGTAATGGCAATCACAAAGGTACTGTTAATTCTACAAAATGAACACATAGGAAAGAGAGAGGTTTTCCCCTCCAATGTCTTTCTAATTTTGAATTTTTACTTGTAACAATAGCAAGTCCAAATTTTGATGACAATGTGACTATTGATAAATTGGTGGTGTCCGTGTTTCCTTTAAATATTTATCACTTCTGTCAATGAGTTAGTATGCAAACCAGCTAAAAAGAACTACTGATTTAAATGTCATTTTATTATGTAAATGTAATTCTGTAGAAGAAAGAAATGCTAGTTAACTAAGAAACCTCACTTCCATACCTCTTTTGTATCTGAGAAATGAAGTAAACCAGAGAAGCAGAATGGCTAAAAGAAAAAAGGAAAAGTTTTTTTCCCTATGTGATGAAAAAAATGGTGTGAGAACTCTAGAATCTTTCCAGTACTGCATACAACAGAAAATTTAAGAGCTGCTCCAGAATGTACTATTTCTGGTTTTTGTTCAAATTGGTAACTCAAGCAGTTTTGAGAGATTCTATCTAGCTAAGACCCATCATGGGGATGGAGATGTTTCCAGTTCCTCTCATTGGGCTTATACTTTCCATTAGTGGTGAAGTATCCTCAGTGGAGGGCCTGTTAAGATTTTAAAGCCTGCTTCCCCCTAGTGGTATACCAAGAGTTTGAACTTCAGTTCAAAGTGGTGGTGGTCAGAACTAGAATCATAGAACTGTATTTTGTTTTTCTTTGGAATAAAATAGAAGAATGAATGATAGGTATTAACAAACAGGAAAGTAAATTATTAATTTAGCTACACTATAGTATTGCTAATTGTTTTCTTTGAGGTAAGATGCCCTGTGTCATGCTGCTGGGGATCACTGTCAATTTTTAAGTAAATAAACATCTAAGATGATGGTGGAAAGGTAGGAGAATTCTGCAGAGAGAAATTATCATTTGCATGTAGACATCTAGGGCCAAAAACCTTCTTTTAGAAGTTCACACTAAGCTCAATAAAAACCCATAAGACTATCCCAGGACAAAACTCAAAGGATCAAGTATGAATAAATAAGCTGCAGTTTAGTTTCCCCCTGGCTTTGAATTCAAAGGAAGGATTATCTGTACAGTTTTCCATCTGTTCTGTTTTCCATAGAAATATTAATTTTGGCTCCATATCAGAGCTTAGTAGCATTGAAACTTAAAGGATTAGTAACCCTTTTGGTAAACCATTGATATGCTAGTTCACACCAGCTGAGAATCTATCCCCAAAGTCTGAAAACAAATTGCCATGCTATGTAGCTCATTGTGTCTACAGTTGCTTTCTAACAACAGTCAAGCTATAGTAGGCAGACTCCAGGATTTATTCCTGATTTGGTTATGGCAGTAAGAAGTATCTGATGTTCTCTAATTTATACTTCCTAAGCAAAAAGTCATGTCAAGGCAGCAGGTGCTCTGGTCTGGAGAGAAACTGTTGTGTTCTTTTCAACAAAGAGGCCAAAGCCTCCAGTGTTAAAGTGGTCAATTGCCCTTGGCATTTATCCCTTTATTACCAAGGAATGTTTAAAGTGGGGGCGGTGGCGGTGGAGAGGGCAATGGAAAACTGCACTTTGTCTCCCTCCTCTGATTAAAGCAAAGAGCAGACTGTCCCCCATGGCAAAACTGGGATTTGATCTAAGCAGTAGAAGCTGTTCTAGGAGCAGCAGGAGGTGCTACACTGGTGAGTTTCTGTAGCTTTTCCACTGGTTTGTGTCCCATTGTCCCAACATAAGGCAATGTACTGTGAAGACTTGCAACTGTGACCAGCTCTCCCACTCTTCTTCTGATTTATTATGACCATGGAGTAGAATGTGCTGGTGATGTTTGCAATGCAGAGGGGACTCTATAAACTGGGTTGTTTAATGCTTCCATGCTTTAAACAAATTGTGAGTTCAAGAAACTGTCCTTCCAAAATAACTGGCATTTTATGTGTGTGGCATACTTCAGTTCCCTACATTTAAACACTGCTTGTATTTACCTGCAAAATAATAACAGCAGCTTTTTGGTAAGCTAATGGCAAGCATGCATGCTTAGCAAATATCAAATTTAATTTATTAGCATGCTACATTCCAGCAGTTACATGTAGCTGTTGACAATGAGAAGTATCTCACCCAAAGCAACACCAGAGTTGTGCACTTTTTTAAATTATACAGTGCTTAATCCCACTAAGAATAGCACCTAGTTTTAGACGTATGGAAACAGTAATTTTCCTTGGAACAGTAGTTTCAAATATGCAGTCATCTTAAAATATCCAGTCTGAAAGGGTATTATTTAATTACAACCAAGTTGTCCCACTATTCTTTAAAGTATTAACTCTGGTGGTTTGTAGGTGACACTTTAAAGCATGTTAAATGCCTTTTGCACTGCTTTAATGGCATTACTGGTTGCACATTTGGCAGTGTATTGTGCATTAATTCCAGCTGCTGTAGCACATTTAGCAGCTTAATGTGCCTTAAATGACTTTGGGATGCAGCAAATGACTTTGGGGCACTGCAAAGTAAAATGCCTCCAAGGAATTTTAGTTTCCTACCCTGCAGCTGTGGAGAGAAGCACCCAGCTCCGTGTGGCTCAGAGGCTGTGCAGGCAGACCATGCAGGCAGCCTGGCAGCAGCCTGGGAAGACAGGTTCCACAGAAGGTGTGGGGGAAAAAACAGTGAGCCTAGCCTAATCTTTTTTTTTTTTTTTTCTTCCCCGGAGCCTTCCTGCCTGCCTGAGCTGTGTGGGGGCCTGGTGCTACCCACCAGGACTGCCCGAGCCAGGTGTCTGTGGGCGGATGCCACATGCAGTACGGCTGCCTCTGCCACAAAGGGAAGCCCCCCTCTTCCTCTCCACCCTGCAGCTCAGGAAACACTCTGCCTGCCAGCACCTCATTCTCCCCTCCCCACCGCTGGACAGGCAGGTAAGGATTGGGCTCTGACACGGCATGACACAGGGATTTACTTCACCCTAAATCGAATCAGTGGTTTTTAAAAAAACACCGCTTCAGTTTAGGAAGAATTAAACCCTTGTGTAGTGTAAAAATGCCCATACACTCTCTAACTACTACCAGATTTTTTTTCTGCCATAAGACAGCTCCCATACTGTATGACTCCAAACTGCATAGAAGTTTATTTGTTCACCACTTTCTTCTATTTAAAATGTGTCCAAAGTGGTCTCTATTTTTGGGTGTCTGAGTACATGGCGACTTGCATCTTTGGTCCCAGACTTGGCTACAGTTTGAGCACTTGAACTATAGTCTCCCCATGCCTCTGTCACCCCATTCATAAAAGAAAGGAAATGGGACTTGCCCATCTTTTTAAGTGTTTTGAGATCCTCAGTGAAAGATGTGATACAACATTGTTTATACTGGTGAGGGCTCACCTTTTTGGCAGGCATGCCACAAGTTAGCCTTGCACCCTCCTTGAGTGCCAATTCCTTTCCTTTACCAAAGCTGCTGCTCAGGTTACTGCTCCTTGACCAAGTTGCTTCTTTGCTTCCTGCCTTGTGCTCCCTGCCTTATCTGCGGCTCCATTTTCTGTTCTCTATCTGCCACTATGCTGCCTGTGCTCTCCCGAGTCTGCCATGTGCCACACAGAGGCTGTCTGTGTCACCTGTGGCACTAGTACTGCAGGTTGAACACCCATTTTTTTAATGGCCAAAATCCACAAATCTTGGGCAAGCAAGATGCTTGGATCTTTATGGGAATTTTATTTCAACAAGTAAGACAGGAATTGATATTTAGTATTCAATTCTGTCTCTCAACAGTGGTTATGAAAAGAATTTAAGCAAGGTGATTAAATGAATCAGTGAAATGGGGATCTGAGGTGTGGAGTAAGAGATCAGTTGATTATTGCCTCTTTCAGTCAGCTTTTCAGCCCTACAGCTGGACAGAGAATGAAGCCAGCTACTTTTGACAGTAGCTATAAAGAGGGGGCCAGATCCCGCCCTTCCCATAAAGGAGCAAAAACCAATTAAAGGGCCATATAGTAGGTGAGGTCAGGCCCCACGCTGACTGGAAGGAGGCCCTTACAACCCCCGTTAAAGTGCCAAAACAATGTTTGCGTCTTCTCTAGATGTTCCTTTTTAAAAAGGCACTGTGAATTAGTTTGGGCAAAAAATAGACTTTGTCTAATGAAAAAGAAAAGAGAAGACTTTATGCATAAAATGTTGGTCTTTTTTTCTGCTGCACTTACCTTAAATGCAAGGGGCAAGGGTTTCGTAGGGTGATGCCTTTTATTGGACCAGCTATGTAGTTAGTGGTCTCATTTCTGGACCATCATGCCTTACAACATCACTCTTATGCTACCTCACCTTTCATCATGTCCTAGGATGCTTAGTCTAATTCTTACGACAGCAAGCTTCCCTCCATAGTATTAAGGCAGAGATTCTTGAGAGAATTATATTGGCACAAGAGGTAAAATGCGACATCAGTGGAACATAATATATTCATAATTCAAAGGTCCAAAATTCATAATTTGTAGAAAAACAAGTATTGAGCTGCTTTTCCTGTCTGTCTTGAAGAAAGCAATTTTGTCTTTCCCATTCTGGCACTGTAACTGGCAGGTGAGCACGAGAACACTGAAAAAGGAGTCTGCATAGGGCCGTACTCCTGTTCAAGAGAAGGCTAAGTCTGTGCATCAGCTAGAGGTCATTCTTTCTCTCAGCCCATTCACAGTCTCATCTGTCTGTCAGTATCGGGATGCTCAGATATATCTCTGTGTTTTCCAGATTGCACAACCAACGCTTCCATTCATAACTTATGCTAAAGTCTGTAGCCAACTGGCCTTCCCAGCAGTCCCTAAACTCCTCCTACAGCTT